GTAGGTTTAGATTAGACATCCGCAAGAACTACTTCACAGTTAGGGCAGCTAGGAGCTGAAACCAACTTCCTAGGGAAGTGGTGCTGGCTCCTACCCTGGGGATCTTTAAGAAGAGGCTTGATGACTACCTGGCTGGACTCATTTGAGTCCAGTCTTTTCTCCCACCCAGGCGGGGGGTTGGACCTGAAGATCTACAAGGTCCCTTCTGACCCTACTTCTATGATTCTATGAGGAAATTCCAGATAACCTCAGGGATGCCACGATTGCAATAATCTTCAAAAAAGAAAACAAGTCCAACTGTAGAAATCACAGAGGAATCACCTTGCTGTCCACCCCAGGAAAGATCAATGCAAGAACCTTCCTGAATCCTCTCCTTCCATTTGCTAAAGACCTGTTTCTGGAATCTCAGCATGGGTTTAGGGCACCAAGAGGCACAACTGACACGATCTTTACAGCTTGCCAGCTGCAGGAGAAATGCCAGAAACAACATAAATCTCTCTACATAGTTTTCTTGACTTCACAAAAACCTTCAGTTCTGTCAACTGAGAAGCGCTGTGGAAGATCCTTCTGAAGTATGGATGTCCACCAAAAATTGTTACTATTCTCTGCCTGCTCCATGATGGTAGGTGAGATGTGGTTCTCAGCAGCATATCTATCACAGAGCTCTTTGAGGTTAAAACAGAAGTTAAGCAAGGCTCCATCACTGCTCCAACACTCTTCTCGATATTCCTTCCTGCGATGCTACATCTGACCACCACCAACCTTCCAGTCAGAGTGCAGCTAAACTACTGAATGGATGGTAAAGATGTTTAATCTCAGCTGACTCCAAGCCAAAACCAAGAACAACCTGACTTCAATCATCAAGCTCCAGTACGCTGATGATGCTGTAGTCTGTGCTCACTCAGAATCAAATCTTTTGGCAATCACTGACGTCTTTACCAAGGCATATAAGAAAATGGGACTTTATTCTCCCAGCTCAGTCATGGTGTACACTCCACAGGAGGGCAGACAAAGCGCTTCAAGGACATCCTCAAGGCCAACTTAAAGAAAATGCAATATCGACATTAACTCATGGGAGACTATTGCCCAGGACCACCCCAAACGGAGGAAGAATCTCGTGCAAGGATCTCAGTACTGTGAAACATTACAATGACAACAGGAGATGGAGGAACACAAACAGCAAAAACAACGTGTTGCAGACCGAATCAAGAATCCAGAGTCACTAACCCTGCATGGGAACATGTGCCCGAGTTATAAGAGTCTGACGACCATGGATTGGCCTCATCAGCCATCTTCACACTCACAGATAAACAATCATCCTCGACTGAAAGGGACTGCCAAAGAAGTGTCTGTTACCTCTGAGAATTTCTCTCAGTCCCTCCCTAGGCTGTGCTTCACTTGCTGTGCCTGGCTTCCTGGAATCAGAGACCTGATGAAGAATGCCTCAAATTCAAAAGCTTGTCTAACTTTACACAACTAAACAGTTGGTCCAATAAAATATATCATCCTAAGAAATCCTTGCATCTTGCATAAGTTCTGAACCATCACGGCTACAATATCTTTCTTATGCTCCCTTCATACAAGGATACATAGACCATATATTTGAAAGAGAGACCTAACTACCCCACAGTAACCTGCTACAATACAAAAAGACAGCCCCCTACAAATGCGTACCCCTGTCAACACATCCCCACTGCTACTACAGTCAGCACTCCCCAAAACAAGTCTGTGCCTTTCCCAGCATGTGATATATCTGAGCCAAAGCACAAAATGTCCTCACTGTAATTATGTGGGTGAAACCAAACAGAAAATATACACCAAAATGAACTCCTTCAGAAAAAACATAAAGGACAGAAACACACACAAGAGCACATTTGTCACAGACCAGCCACTCCCTTTCTGACCTCACTATCCTCATACACAAGGGAAATCTACTAAACAACATTAAAAGGTGAACTTGAGACCAAAACAGAGCATGCTGGACATGAGGAACCAAGGACAAAAACGTAATATAATGTGTCATAAAACCAATAACCTACATGATTCCTGAAATTCTTCCTACACACTACAGGTGATAATGACCCTCCTCTATTTTCAGTAGTCAAGTTTTGTTTCTTCTGCTAACTGTCTGTCTGCTACCCCTGGCAATCTCTTCTCACTCCAATTTCACAGCTCTACCCACTAAAAATTCTTGTGCTTGGTTTCCTCCTCAGACCTGAAGAAAAATGATTTGCAATCAAAAGCCTGCCTAACTTTATCTCAACTAAACAGTTTGTCCAATTAAAGATATCACACCCCCTCCCATAAAAAATCCTTGCCTCTTAGTCTTACAAAATTCCAGTTCCCAGCTCTGCCTTCCAAGAACGAAGGGTACCTTGCTCCAAACGTAACTGGCCTTCATAGACTTGGAATCGTGCGTTTCTCAGCTGGCTGTCTTCTACTGGTAACCATCCAATTTTATTTCAAGCCTTAGGAGTAAAAAAAAAAAAAAAAAAAAAAAAAAAAAAAAAAAAAAAAAAGAGAGAGATATTGAGTGGTATGTCAGCACTGAGACTGCATGTATATTAGAACTGTTAGTGGGAAAACTACAAGAAATAAGCCACTAAAAAAAAACCCAGCCCCTTTCCTACTTTTAATAAAACCAAACATAACCTTCAAGTTCAATAACCCATTACACTTCAGGGAAAAAGATCTAATTTCACATCATATACAGAAGATGTTGAACAAATTCCTGAGAAACAGTATGCTAGAAGACACTCCACAAGTCAAACTAATCATGCCACAGAGTTCACTCCACTGGATCTTATGGAAACGTTTCTGTATCCTAAAAGTAACATCCACATTGATCAAATTTCACACTTGAGATTAGCCTTGTAACAACATCTATAGCAGGGGTAGGCACCCCTCGGCACAGGTGCCAGAGCATGGCACGTGAAGGCATATTGCTCGACACATGCATCTCAGGGCGGACAGCAGGGAAGGGGCTGTGGCTGAGCTGTCCCAACAAGGATCGGGGCTCTCACAACTCCCCTGCCATCCACTCCTGGCACACCAACATCTTACAAGTCAAGGCTGTAGGTATTTTTGGTACTCTGCCCAAAAATGCTACCAACTACTGATCTATAGGCTGTTGATGCTAAGGACAACTACCAACAAAATGCTGACTTGGAGTGTTTCTGCTCAACATTACCTGCCAGAGCCCTCCCCTTGTTACCACCCCAACCACTTGGGTCAGGGCAACAGCAGAAGGAGGATGCATATACCTAAAACATTGCAAAAGGAAATCTCTAATAAGATTAATAACTGCATTCTGCATACTTATTAGCCTGGATAATTACCACAGTACCAGTGTCCTGGAACTCCACATGTAGCCAAACTGATAAGTGCCAGATTACACAAAAATAGAACAAATATGGAATCAGAACTCTGAACATAGGAGATATCTTTTATTAGAGCAACTAAACATTTGCAAAAAAAAATGTTATTAGCAAGCTTCTGGGCACACTTATCCTTCTTCAGGCATAGGAGAATGCAAAGACTGTAAAATTTCTCCTACGTGGAAATGACAATTCTTATTTCACAGGAGAGTTGAAGGTGTAGTAAGATCTCCTGGTTGGAAAAGTTCATTTTGTGCAAATTAAGCTCAACATTAGAGCAGTCTTTTTACCTGCCACCTTTGATGGCAAGCAGGATGTTTAATTATATTTCCTTATGGTTATAATTCAATATCCTGCTTATCATCAGACAACTCTGACATAAACAGACTACTCTAACTTTTTATCTGGGCGGGAGAGGCAGGGGGGCAGACTGAGGCCCCTGCAGTAAGGGAGGCTGTGAGAGTGGGAGTGGGGCTGGGGCAGAGGCAGGCGCTGCACAGCCAGGGCGGAACGGGGCATGGGACACAGTGGTGCAGGGAGCGGGCAGCTCCCGCAGCTGCGTGCACCCTGGGGAAGGCACGGGGGGCACGTGCCCCTTGGATCTGTGCAAGGGCAAGGGCAGGCTGCCTGCTTGGGGCTAGGGGCTGTGCCAGCCTCTTCCCGGCAGACGGCTTGCACTGGGGTAGCGCTTAGGGCAGGTGGGTGGGTGGCAGCAGCAGTGCTAGGAGGGCAGCAATGGGGGGGCTACAGTCACCCCAAAATTGGTTGTAGCCCCCCCCGCCCCAAGTGCAGCCCCAGTCGAGCCCCAATGCCGGAAAGAGGCTGGGCACAGTCTCTGGCCCCGAGCCTGCAGTAGCAGTCTGCCCTCACCCTGCACACAGATGCAGGGGACACATGCCTCCCCTGGGGGTGCGTGCAACAGTGGGAGCTACCCACTCCCCCCACCCCATGGATGAGCCATGACTCCATCACGTGCCCTGCCCCGCCCCAGCTAGGCAGCGCTTGCCCCTGCCCCACTCCCAGCCCCACTTTCCCCCTCACTGTGGGGGCCTCGATCTGCCCCCTCCACACTCCCTCCCTCCTCCCTACCCCTACCCACCCTTCCCCAAACAGACTTACTGGCCAGATGCTCCTCTCCAAGTTGCTGGGCTGCATTCCTAGCCATGTGCATGCTGTACCTGCGCACATGTACACGGCATTTATCGGTGACATTATCAGCCACATCAGCCAAAAAAAAGCCAATTACTGATCATGTCAATTTTCCTTCTCTTGGTACTGATATGATATAGACCAATGTATCAGTGCACTTCTACAAATAACTAGAGAAGGAAAAGTTGTGGCTGCTTTCTGCCGCACCTTCCCCTAAGACAGACTTTGCCAAAAGACAGCTGTGTACAAGTTTATGCTGGCACAAGATAGAGTAAATTCAGAATGAACAGTCTTTAGTCTTATAGCATTTTATAACAAACCATACAGTGTTTTGGTACAGGATTTTAACTTCTGTTTACCACTTATCTGATACAAGAAAGAGAGAGACTAAATGAAATCCATGGTTAAGTATTCTCTCTCTGTTAAGCAGTGACAACTAATGCAATACAGGACTGATTCTATTGGACTAAAGCAGTGGCTCATGTACCCCAGTATACCTCTTTCAGCTGTGGAGGACCAAAAAAAGCAAGAAGGCGACAGGTGAAAGATGTGGTAAACCAAGTGATGAAGACCAAGGTGGACTGTGAAGAAGTACAGAAGGATCTGGCACTACTGAGCCAATGGGCAACTCAATGGCAGATGAAATGCAAACCTAGATAAGTGTAAAGTGATCCAGACAGGCAAAAATATACCTACACCACCAGTTCAAATTATACCTACACAATGATGGGACCTACAACAGCTGTTACCACACAGGAAAGTGAGCTGGGAATCACTGTGGACAGTTCACTAGAAACATCAGCTTAATGGCTCAGCAGGGATCCAAGTTTTCAGTTTCCCACAGAAAAACGGAGAAAAAAACAAGGATTTTTCCTTTTAACCAAAAAAAATGTGAATTTTTCCTTTTAACGGAGAAACGCGGATTTTCCACTTTTGCAAAGAGCTCTCTGCAGGCTGGCAGAGTTCCAGCCTGCAAGGGGCTGGGGGGAGCAGGAGAAGGGCAGTCAGGCAGGAGGCACCACATGTACTCTCACACATGTGAATGGCAGCCAGGCAGCCTGGACAGTAGCTCCCGCAGGTAAGCCTGGAGCCTGGGAAGGAGGGATTAAGACCCTGCATAAGAAGGGCAGGACTGGGGCATCTGCCCAGCCAGGGCAGTTCATGGGGCTTGGGGCCTGAATGTGGCCACAGGTCCCCAGCAGGGGGCAGGGGCAGGTGGCCCCCAGATTTGTGCGTGGGGTGGGGGCAGGCTGCCCGCTGCAGGCTCAGGCTCCCTGCCCTGCTGCCCTCCCCTTGGGGTCTCCACAGCCCAGCAGGCAGGACCTGGCACAGCAGGACAGAGTGGAGCCAGGCAGGGAAGCTCCTTGTCACTGCCCTGCTCTGCTGTAGCAAAACACCCTCCTGCCCACCCAGAAGCAGCAGGGGTAATGACACAGAGCTGTGCCCTTCACTGCTGCTGTGTGGGCAAGGGGCACATCGCCATGGCAGCAAGGAGCTCCCAGTGGCAGCAATGAGTTTTCCCACCTGGCCCCACTCTGTCCTGCCATGCCAGGTCCCGCCCACTGGGCTGCAGAGGCCCCAGGGGGAGGGCAGCAGGGTGGGGAGTCCAAGCCTACAGCAGGCAGCCCGCTCCTGCCTGCACCCCACATGGGCTCCGTTCTGGCTGTGCCACCCACGGAACAGGGGGAACCGGGTCCATGCTCTGCTTTGCTGTTGCAGACACCACCTCCCACAGGCAGCAGCCAGGGTTCAGACGTTGCTGCAGTGGGGGCAGGGGACTGAGGACCCAAGACCCTGGCAGTCCCATCTGGCAGGATTGCAGGGGTAAGGGGCTATTGGTGGGGAGAGGCACCAGCAGTGCCTGGGGGATGTGGCTTCGGAGTGAGGGGCCTGGACCTGCACCCTGGTGAGCAAAGGGGGCAGGGGGTTGTCTGACTTTCCATGATAAGAAACCCAAAATCAAATACCAAAATGTAGAGGGACTTAGACTGTATTTTATTATAGTGACTGAGGCACTGGTAGGCTTCCAAACTGCTTTAAAATTGTAAATATATCAATAAATCATTGTGTTCAATTGATACCTATATGGTGGTATTACATTTTAATTGTGAAGTTTAGGGGTTTTAATTGTGGAGTTTAATTAGGGGTTTTAATCAGAGACTTTGTGATTTTTAAAACAAGAGAAAACCAGAATCCCTGGTGCTCAGCAGCCATAAAAAGGCAAACAAAATGGTAGGGATTATGAAGAAGAGAATTGTAAACAAAATGGAAACTATCATTATGCCCTCTTACAAATCCATGGTCCACACCTCAAATACTTTGCACAGTTCTAGTCCCCACACCTCAAAAAGGATATAGAAGAACTAGAGAAGGTACCAAGAAGGGTAGCAAGGATGATTAGTGGTATCAAGGAGCTTCCATATGAGAGAGACTAAAGAGGCTAGGCCTATTCAGTTTAGAAACACAACACTTGAGCAGGGAAATAAGTGTTTACAAAATACTATATGGTGAAAAGAAGGTAAATAGAAATGTATTACTTACTGTCTCTCACAATACAAGAATTAGGGGTCACAAAATGAAACTAGTAAGTTTAAATTAATAAAAGGTGATTCTTTTGCACACAGCATGTAATGGAAGTGTGGAACTCACTGCCACAGGATTTTGTGGAAGCTGGCAGTTTAGCCAGGTGCAAAAAGGGCTGGACAAATCTTGGAGGAAAGAAGAATCAGTAGCTACTGAGCAGGCGAATTAGGGATACAACCTCAGAATCAGAACTTCCAAGACTTTAAATCCTGGAGGCTGAGAAAGAAACCGTGGAAAAAATCCTGGTCATACCCAGTTCTTTCCCCCTTTCAACATCCCCTCTGTGCCACTGTGTGACAGGATACTGGGCAAGGTGGACCAATGGTCTGACCTAGTAAATGTCAGTTCTTATGCCTACC